CAGATTCATCACACAGTTGTGCTGTTTACCTGTCTAAAGTGTATATAAAAATGATTTCCAATGCTGAAATTTGACCAAATAATGTCAGCTTTGAACATTTATATTAATGTATCTTCCATAATTTCTTATCCAGTATGGGGTCATTTAGTCTGCACCTATATTATTCCGTTAAAAATGTCTATTGTAACCCAGGCCTAGGATAATTCAGTCTGCCTTATTTGGGTCATATGTTGTTCCTTAACTACACTTCTGCACATTCTTGCTACGCTGTGTGTGTGCCTCTTTTGGTACAGCAAGAAACGAGGACCTAGCACTCATTTTCTAACGAATTGGGCAGAGTCTGGACTTTATGCTGTAAAGGTATTCTTGGACCTCAGTCCCAGACTTACACACACCCTTCCTGTCAGGATCTGTCCCTGTCAGCCTTGCTGTGTTCCTGTTTGGCTAGCAGGCATCACTGTAGTGTAGACTTAGTGTATCCTCTGTCCTTTTGCCCTGAATCTCACCCCCTTGTTAGATCAGCCCTAGAGCCTAACCCTCTTTGTGGCTATTCCCAGCCTCCGGTCTTGATGCCTCGTGGTCCTTTTGTTTCTGTTTGATTGTTTAAGTTCAAACAAAGCCCTTCAGTTCACCCAAAGGTTCTACCTGTCCCACCATCCCGTTGTGACACTTCCTGCTATTTCCTGCTCTCTTGGGAGTGTTGATCTTGTAAATGACTCAGCTATGCAGTGAAAGTAAGCAAAACGGCTAAATGACAAAACTTGAAAACAGATTTGGTCAATTTTGTGTCCCTTTGCCCTGTTGTGAGCAACATGATTAAATCAATAAGGAAGCCCATATTTATTTACCTGCATTGATTCTTGCCACTTTTTTTTTATCGGATGTTTCACTCCATCTGATTTATGTCACTTGGGAGTGTAAAACAAAACAATCAATTGATCAACATGACAATGAAAATATGTGCATAGTAAAGAGGTTTGACACCAACCTCTCAACAGTGTGTCTCAGCAGATTAAAACACTGTTTATGCTCAGAAGGCTACCTGCTCCAGTCCTGGATTTGGCCATGTTTTTTCACCATTGGGCCCTTGAGTAAGGACCTCAACTCCCAATTGCTACAGAGACTGTCTGACCCTGCTTTCTCAAAAAAATGTAAGTCGGTCTGGATGAAAAATCATCTGCTATATAAATCAGATGTAGGTCAATCCTCATTGTTCTCTATAACCCAAAGACCTCCGATTCACAAGCACAACCAACAAATAAGATTTAAAAAAACTTTTTTAAGATGTAAAACTTACTGGAATATTGGCGGGACTGTAACCACACCTTAAGCTTGCATATTCCCCCTCCAGCTCTCCAAAATACAGGCAGTTGAGTGGCCTTGTGTGTTATCCGTAGTGAGTGTATGTCTGTATATGTCCTGTTATGGCCTGGTGTCCCATCCAAAGTATGCCATGCATTGTGCCCTGTGATTCCTGCAGCTGCAAACGTATGCAACTTACATAATTTGCAGTGGACAGCTACTTCACCAATCCTTGCTTTGCATACAGTTGACTTTGTAGACAAAGAATAACAGATCTGAGTGATTACCTGTGAGGACAGGTGCCCATCCATCCCTGTCCTATGTGTTTGGTCCCCGTTTGGCCAGCAGGTGTCGCTGGCCATCTTCTTCCCTCTGTCTTCGCACTAGTCCCTAGTGTGTTTTCCTGTTACCTGGACTGCTGCATAGCTCAGTGGGTTGAGCGTGTGGCACCAAGATTGTAACCCTGTATTCTTGGGTCGGAGGCCAGCCTCACATGCTTATTGGTTTTCTGTTTTTCTAGTGTTATAGTTTATCCTATTTATGTTAATTCCATTCTGCTTCCCTCAGTTGCGTGTTAGTATTCCTAGTGTCTGTTTCCCAGCATGTGGTTAATCTAGTTTTGGTCTTTGTTAAAGTTCCCTAGTTGCTGTGCTTGTTAATTGTTAGTTACATTTCTCCACTTGTGGCCTGTTTCCCTGTACTGTGCTCATTGGTTATTGTCTTGTTATTTGTGTATTTAAGTGCCTGCCTTTGTCCTGCTCCTCAGTCTGCCATTGTGAGTGTTGTTTGCTGTTGCTCTGTTTAGTTTCTAGGCCTGCTCCCTGTGTTATCCCAGTCTATCCTTGTTCCTTAGTTGTGTTGAGTTTCCTTGGTGTTTTTTTCCCTGTTTGTTTTCTGACCCCTCGTGGTCCTTTTACTTTGAGGGTTTCCCCAGTGTCTTAGTTCCCCTAATAAACCCCTTTGTCTTGGAAGCACCAGTGGATCGTCCCACCTTTTTCCCCGACTGCGCCATGCCGCACCATAACATTACCGTTCACACTGTTAAACTGTATACACGATAAAAATGTGTCTCACTTGAACATACATATTTGGCTACATGTCACATGTTCACATAATCTGTGCTTTTTGCTGTTTGCAAAAGTTTTCTAACAAGGAATTTAAAAAAGGGAGGCGTTTATTACATTTTTACTTATATAATAGGTCATTATCTGTCCTCAAATTAATCCTATTAAATTATTAATCATGCGCAATTAAATTTGTGCCCTTATTTGACCTTCATAATCAGCTTTGAAGAGACCAATCAAGACTGTGACTGGGCTGAGGAATGTCATGTATGTGTTTTGGGGGGGACACGAAGGGAGACATCTCCGTAAAAGCCATTTATGAAATGAAGACATCTAATTAGGATTGGAGTAGTATCGGCGGCCCCATTAGGCAGGGGAATTTGTGTGTGATGAGAAGAAAAAAAAAAAAAACTCCCGTACCCCGGGACGCAAATTAATTACCACCCCGCTTCTGGATGCTTCCATGTGGGCCCCTGGACCTCACAGAATGTGAGGATGCCCTTCACCTCGATTGTCTCCTCAAAGCACGGCCCGCCCTACTTATTTATTTCACAGCGATTATTACTCTCACTGATAAGGTTTCCGGCAGGGCCAGTTCAGTCCAAGCGATCCAAGCAGTACAAGAACTACCATCGCTGGTCGTCCAACTCCATGAGCAATTATTTGAAAAGAGAAAAAAAACAAACGTGCGTGGTTTAATGAACTCTAAGGATTAAATCAGGAAGACACACATACTTCTGAAACAGGTCCAGAGAATGTAATAAGTACCTCCATCCATCTTTTAACCATTTGTCCTGCTCAGGGATGCATGGTAATATGAGAAACTGTATATTTTAAATTATGTGTAAGCTGTATCTGTAAAAGTATCAGATGTAAACAAAAATAGTTTTTAATAAACATAGTATAATGCCTAAGTTTTATGTTTCAGACTATTTGTTTCAGGGCAGTTTTTTAATAAAGAAGATGAAATTCCTCCAGCACCAAACACTGGGTTCCACTCAGAAAGGGACAGTTTCACGGTCGTCAATTATGGGGGGATGGGGGGGAGGATTGTAACACCCCCCCCCCCCCACCCAATAATCAAAACCAGTCAATACAACCCACTGGACCCCATTAAATGGATGGAGACCTCAACCCTCCCTCCCAAAGTGATGTCCTTGGACAGGTTCCCATTTCGATTTCTTCTTCCCCCTAGAATCAATATAGTATATCGTATTTTTTGCATTTAACTTACCTATTTCATGCAATTGCATATCTACAGCAGATGGGGGCAGCATAAACACACATGCGTCATTTAGGCATTTGTTTCAGGGAATTTGGTAAGTAATGAGTGACATTGTTGCTTCAAACCTCAAGCGTTGGGTTTTAAATCCAGTCTTTATCATGGTTGTGTGGAGTTTCAATGCACAGTCGAAAAACATTCACTTAGGCTAATTAGCATCTCTAATTTGCTTATGGTTTACAAGTGCGCGCTTACATGTGTCCTGGACTGGACTGGTATCCATGTCTAATACCCTATTCTGCCTGGTTTAGGCTGCAAGCCCCAGCCTCTTAATATAGTGGTAAAATGTCAAATAATGACATTTTAGAATGTTGAAATGATTGAAATGAAAAAGAAGTGGACCTCAGTTTGTTTCGGCATTTTGGTTTGAGTGGATGTTGCCAGTTTTACCATTATACCAGTTGCTGGGCACTACATTCTACAATAGAAAAACTGGCAATCAAGTATAACAATTTTTATATGTTTCTTCATTTCTAACTTTCCCTAACTGAAACATATTCAGAGAAGGCAAGGAGTTTAAATTCAATATATATTTTTTTATATGTTCCACTCATGTGGTGCATAAGAACAAAAGGCGGAGTTCTGTGCGTGTGGTAGGAGGCTGAAGGAGAAGTTTAACTGATGGTACTGTATGTATTAGTGCGCAATGTCAGCAAACTACATATATACTGTATGTATTAGTGCGCAATGTCAGCAAACTACATATGTACTGTATGTATTAGTGCGCAATGTCAGCAAACTACATATATACCGAGGTAATTTGCCCATTTAAGCCTTTGCAATTAAGTCTAAGAACCTATCCCAACCTATAACCAGCATACATAAGTTCCACAACAGTCAGGGTTGGGATAGAATATTCTTTATTTGCCAAGTATTAATCTGGTCTTAAAATTATTCTAAATTAAAATTTCCAGAGGTTTCACAGTGGAGTTCTTCCAGGTTGCAGATCACAAACTTGCCTTTACACCTAAACTCTAACCCTAACCACATACTCCTCTATTTTCTATGGCTACCATCACCCACTTTAAGTAATTGCACCATAGGGACTTTCTTACAATGTAAGCGCCTTTGGTTTATTGGTTGATGATATTTAAGTAATTGATTGTGTAATAAGAAACCAAGTTACAAAATGAACTAGGCTGGTATAAAATACAGCTTTGAGAAGTTTGGAGATAACACCAGGAAACTATCGTGGGTGATACACTGGCGTAGACAGCATTAATTTGGTATGTATTTAAGTATCTGTAGTATCTATAGTAATAATATTAAATGGTTATGTTGTATCACCTGCATGCAGCATCTTTCTATTTACCGTCATACTATACGTTTGATGTTGTGTGTATATGTTTCAGGCAGAGGACGAATACAGAAATTACCATCAAATGGAGACGACAACGCAAGACTTGAGTAACTTCACGCGTCCTGTTGGATTTTACATCAGGGGATTCTACGGTCTCAAACACACTGAGTATTACTTTATATTTCTGGCGGTCATGTATGTCTTGACGCTTGTGGCAAATTTAACACTGATGTTTATCATATGGTTTGCAGAAACCCTCCACACACCGAAATACATGGCGGTGTTCAGCCTGGCCGTGGTAGATTTGAGTTTCAGCTCGGCTCTGATCCCGAAAGCCGTCCACATGTATCTGTTTGACTCTAAATTCATGTACTTCAACGCATGCCTGGCGCAAATGTTTTTCGTTGATTATTTCGCTTCGATGGAAGCGTTCTCTCTATGCGTTTTAGCTTATGACCGGCTCATTGCCATCTGTTTCCCTCTTAGAAGCAATTCGTTGAATACAAAACGTAAAATGATGGTAATTATAATTGTGACTTGGTCTATTCCGTTAGTAATAGACGTGGTCATGGTCGCACTGATTCCGCCTTTGCCATTTTGCAAGTCAACTGTAGTGAACAGTTTCTTTTGCGACCATGGTCCAGTGTTTAAGATAGCTTGTGGGGATTATTCTCCAAACTGGTTTATGGCTAGTTTTACCACAGTCTCCATGTACTTTGTGCCCTTTGGATTTATTGCACTGACATATATATTTATTATTTATGCAATTTTGAACATCGCATCCTCGGAGGGCAGATGGAAGGCATTCAAAACTTGCAGTTCCCATTTATTACTGGTGGGTATGTTTTTCGTGCCGTTTTTTGTCACTTACGTCATTGCCTGGGTTAACATTAATATCGACACGGACACACGAATTATTAATACTTCGCTGTCCGCTTCCATCCCTCCACTCCTCAATCCGATCATTTATTCCTTCAAAACAGAAGAAATTCTGGAGCAAATTAAAAAGATTCTCGGTATGAGAAAAAGGAACCCCAACTAGGTCGGTGTAACTGTGACTGCATGGTAGTTGTCTCACAACTCACAAGATAGTTATGTTGTGCGCACAATATACAATCGTAAGCGCTCAAGGAATTATGTGTACATTAGATAATCAGGGTACTGAGCACACTTACGTGAACATGGAGCGGAACACAGCTCATAAAGTAATTAATACTTCAATCTTGACATTCTTGTTACACCGCGATAATGTTAGCCTTATTTTCGATATTCAATTTTATTGTAACAAAACCAATGACACTTTTTAACTGTCTTTGTTCATTTGTCCAATCTCCGGGAAAATGTTTTAAAAACTGCTTGTGTATTGTTGCCCTTTGGGTAAACCCAAGATATACTCGAATAAATCTACTAAGGTTATATACTAAATGTATAATTATTTTTGAAATGTACTAAATATTTATAAAATAGATTTGTCTTTGTATATTTACAAAAGATTTAGAATGTACATGTTAATGCAGTCCTTTATCAATATAGGGTGAAGTCACACAGTTTCTTAAATGTAAAATAAAATGTAATATATCATGTAAGTCTAGGAAATGTGTCTGTATTTCTTTTTTTTTTTTTTTGTCATTTTCACAGTTATTTAGCAAATGCTGACCGAGCGGCATCAGCCAGGCCCTGCAGCGAATGAGATTCAGGCCCTTGCTTGAAGGTTCAAAGGTGAAACCACTCTGGTGACCACCTTCCTATCAGAGGCACAAGGCCCTAACTCATCCCCTAACTCCTAACTCACCTCAGATTGACGATCCCTGCCCCAGTAAAACATGATTCCACCTGCCAGTGCCAGCCGGTCAGCCCTGTGGAGGACATATGAGATTGTTTATGCAACTGGGGGGAGGGGGCGGCAGACTCAGCAGAATCTCGCCAAGGGCACCACAACCCTGAGAGCCAGCCGTTTGGTTTGGGGTTAACTATCATAATCACTACGCTACAGAAACCCATTATTTGATATGTTGCTTATGGATAATTAGTTATTTAGTCATATCTGTTTTTTTTTTAAAAAGCCAGCTATTTCCCCGGCAAAACTTATTGTATACCTTCGTTGATCTTTTCTATGACTGACCAAAGCAGTCTAGTTAAAGTACTAATCTACTGTTCCCTTGTGGTCTGAAGTGTGTTCTGCCTTGTACGGTACTATTACAAAGGGGCTATGAAAGCATAAAATAATGATATGCATGCACACAGATTAAATGCAAGAGCCTGTCTGTCTTTGACATTTAATTGTTTTAACCTTGTACTTAATGATTTACACTCATGGCGAGCTGGACTGTCTTTTAATAGGATGAGACCCACTGGACGTAACTTACATTTTACTAATTAAAATGATGTCTTACTAGTAAAAAATAATTTTTTAAATAATAATAATGATAAATAAGTAATAATAATAATAAACTAGTGAGAATACAAAATCCATATATATATATATACAGTATATATATATATCAATTTTAACTAGTATAAATCATTTATACTAGTAAGAACTGTATAGTTTGTAGTGAAAATTCACATTATAGATATCTTTAATATATATTTTGTTCTAGTACAAATGCAGATCCTACTGTAAGGAATCCACTTGCAGTCTCTTTTCAGCAAAATGGTGGTTTATTGAACAGTAAAAATAATATAATGTAATACAGTGTAGACATACACCGGGTACTGAAAGGCAGCTCAAATACAAATTAAGGGCGGTTCTTCACCACCCTTTATACCCCGAAGACCCTCCCCGCCAAGGTGCTGTTTGGTTTGGGGTGAACTGTCATAATCACTAATCACTAATCACTGTGTGTAGGTGTTGTGAGTGAATTTACATATAAAGAGTGACCCCCCCCTGGCCTGTGAGGAGCCTGGGGCAGGGATGGGGCAGGACAGGGTGGAGACTTTTATGATCATTGTTTAGTTATCTTCCTTATCACCCTAGTGGTGCCAACTGGAACCCCTATTCTCTCCCTGACTTCCCCCATGATCATAAATTGCTAACACTGTCTGTGTTCAAATGATCAGCCAAGAACATTGGGGGAACTTTACTACTTTTCCTTACACTACTATAATTCTTACTAGTAAAAATATGAATATTTACTATCTGGAATGTTATTTTGACTAGTCAAACTCAAGCAATGACGGCGAACCCTTATACTGTTAGGTGATGTGGCTTGCCTTTCTGCAATATGTTCTTCTAGGAGAGTCTCGTATTATTTTCTGTATCCTGGGTGACTATTTTTTTGGTGTGAATGTGAAATGATCATTTTTAACAGGCATATTTAAAATTTTGAGCTTGGGTCTATTTTATTTACAATTTATCCTGTATTGTTTTCTGCTTCACTGACTCATACTTTAATTTTTTCCATCCATCTTCTAGTCATTTATCCTGGTCAGGGTTAAGTGAGGCGGGGGTCTGGAGCCTAACTCAATACATTAAATGCAGAATACATAAATCAGCAGGTTTTGCACAGAGTAAACTGCCGCATGACCCTGAACAGGATAAGCAGTTTGATGATGGATGGAAGCAGAACACTCTTTGCTCTTGTTACGTTTTAAGATTTTAGCGGGTTTTTTCCTGCAGTGTTTTCTTTAGTCTCGTTATTTAATGATGAAGTGATGTGCAATTGCATGTTCTAATTGCTCTCTGGCACCTGAAATGCAAAACTCAATTTAGTAAAAAATTGGGGTACAATGGGGTAATGACTTCTGGGATGTTATGTAGCAGAGTGTGGCGCAATATCATTAATTGCCATTTTCGACGAAAGCATAATACATTAGAGAGCTGTGTTGAGCAAGATAGTAATGTTTCCAGTTTTAATTACCTCCCTGAAGAGCTTTTTTTCCACACATATATGTAGAATAATATGATACACAGACTAATACAGATACACACAAAAGGATTCTATGGCTCATGCTGAAGGTAACAAATGGTATTGGGGTGAACATGGTTCCTGTCCATATTCAGATTTATAGAACCTGGGTGAAGAATAATTGTTTTCCATGCGAATGTCTTGCCCGGGGGCAGGGCTATGGCGCAGTGATTCATACTGCTGCCTGACACCCCTGGAGTCCAGGCAACAGCGTAACTTTGGTTTGAACTTTGGGAGGGGGGGTTGAGGTCTCCACTCATTTAGGGGGAGACATGATGTTTGACGTAGATGTTTTTCTGCTATGCCTTTTTAACTATGGAGTCCCTTTCCATATCCGTACTCGCGTATGATCGATTAATTGCGATTTGTTTCCCACTCCATCAACACGATCACCAAAATGATCAGCATTATAATGATAATGTGGGCTGTTGACGTGGGCAGCAATGCTTTCTCGATTTCAGCGATGACTAGACTTTCCTTCTGTAGATCAACAGACATGTACAGCTATTTCTGTGATTACGCACCTGTATTCAGACTTGCTTGTAACGATTATTCATTGCAGTGGACCTGTGCTACCACTTTGAGCTTAGTAAACTTGTTTGGACCCCTGAGTTTTATTACCCTTACGTATATATATATCTTGATATCGGTGTTCAGAATGCAAAGCATAGAGAGCAAGTTTAAAACCCTCTCCACCTGTGTGGAACACCTATTTTTAGTTGGCATTTTCTATGTTCCCTTTTTAACACTGTTTATCATAGGGCTGTTTTTGTTTGGTGTAAACCCAGATATCAGAATGCTGACCTTGTCGCTGCATGGCTTCCTGCTTGGCACCCCTGTTGAATCCTGTAGTGTACTCACTGAAAACCAAAGAGATTCGGGCTAGAGCCTTTTTCATCCTCCGAAAAATTCAAGTTAGGTCGGCAGCCTGAACCAGAGAGCGATGAGAGAGAGATGAAAAGGCTTGGTCAAGGTAGAACCAGTCAGTGCTATAACGATGAACTTATCTCAAGTTTTTAAATTCCGACTGATTGTAATAATTTAAGTCTAAGTAGCAATAATTCCCACCTAAATGACTCATTTAAAGCACAACGTCACCAATGCAGAGTAAACATTATTTTTTCAGGATTTATGTCACTGTTGCCCAAAACTGTCTTCCCATATTAATTAAACTCTAAGTTTGCCCTATTCTGTGTTTTAAACCTACAAAGACTGTTTCTGACATTGATGTATTCGCTTTTAATGTATTTGCTTGTAATTTGTTAGTCGTGTGCATCTTTTAATTTTTTCTTTGTATTCTATGTATCTAATTATTCTCAGCTTTTGTGTATCATATTACAGTGGTACCTCAGAACTCGAATTTAATCCGTTCAGAACTCCGGACCGAATCCTAAAAAGTTCGAGTTGTGATCAAATTTTCCCCATAAGAAATAATGGAAAACCAAATAATTGGTTCCTGGCCCCAAAAAATGACACCTATATATGTTTTTTTTTTTTTTTTTTTTTTTTTTTTTTTAGCATTTAAACACAAAATGAACCGGATAAAACAAGAAGAGCATATACTGTACTAAATACATCTAAGCACATTTATCAAAGCAGTAATTTGTAAAGTAAGAAAATAAATGCATCCAAACAATGTGTAAAGTTAAAAAAAACATTGTGTCCTGCCCTGATTGTTCGCACCTTCCGTGTGCCACGCCCCCTCGTTAACTCCGTGTGGAATCCCCATGTGATCAGTTGTTTCTGGTTGTTGTCATTAGTCATCTGTATTTAGTCCGTGTTTCAGTTTGTTTCCCCAGTCCGGTCATTGTATTGTCCGTCTGCATTTTGCCTGCCTTACCTGTAATTAAACCCTGTATTCCCCGATACCCTGACGTTTGTGCCTTTGTCTCCGTTCTGTCCCCACTCTGCAGGACAATATTATTATAATTAAATGTATCAATGGTTTATTATTAATATTACAGTTTTTCTCCATTGGTTTGGCTCATTTCTTGAAACAGAAATTACATTCTCAAAACTCTAAGATCATTTGGCAAAACACTCTTACAGTTTAGCACAACACTATAGCTCACCTGCAAAAGCTCATATCTCTTCCAAAACTGTTCACTCAGGCTTCAATCTAAATCCCTTTCTCATTTAAACAGTCAGTGTCTCCAAAATGGCAAAGATCCTTCTCAATAGCTTTGCCTCATTTCTCGACACAGATCGGACATTCTCATCATTCTTGGTGCTTTTGTCAAAATAAACCTGGATGGTTGATCACAACAACATGGTTCACCTGCAAAAGCTCATATCTCTTCCAAAACTGTTCACTCAGGCTTCAATCTAAATCCCTTTCTCATTTAAACAGTCAGTGTCTCCAAAATGGCAAAGATCCTTCTCAATAGCTTTGCCTCATTTCTCGACACAGATCGGACATTCTCATCATTCTTGGTGCTTTTGTCAAAATAAACCTGGATGGTTGATCACAACAACATGGTTCACCTGCAAAAGCTCATATCTCTCCTAAAACAGTTCACTCATGTGTCAAAACTACATTTCTTTCTAATCTGCTTAGTCAGTGCCCCCAAAATGCATCGTCCCTTTGGCATTGTGTGAGTACTGCCATACAAAATGTTTAGATGTTTTGTCACTATGGCAGAGGACCAACAATATACAACAGAAAAGAGTAGCCTCCAAG